TAAATCAACACTACCAGTATTTTATGTCTTTTGTTATCAAATGAACACACTATTTTCCACATATAGCCTCTGAATATGCCTTATTTCTTTTATCAAAAAATTATAAAATAACATGTTTTTAATTAAATATTAATTATGCATTTAAAATTGTTAAGATAAGGATAAATGCAATTGTTTCAATGGCATCAGATTATATAAACTAAATATTCATATTAAACTTGATATATTTACAGAAACAACATAATACGAAAAAACTCACAAAAGTGCTGTTTATATTTGTTTTAATTTCCAAGGTATAGGATAAATTTAGTTACAGTACCAAAAATTAGTTCAATTCTGTTTTTTTTTTCCTTCATTTTATTTTCAGTTGCAAATTCTGTTTTATTAAATATACATTAATTTTTCATATTTTTAAAAATATTTTTCAGGAAAATTGACAAAATATTTGAATAGTTTGATTGATTCTATTGATCATAAATTTTACATTGTTGAAAAATTTAACATGCTTTTAAAGGTACAGTATGTTCTTGTATTTCAATTTTTTTATAATGAATTTTGATTGATATAAATAAAACTCAAATATTCTTGGAAATATGTTATATTTAATATATTTATATATAAATATTTAATCAATCAATCAATTTCAAAAACTTCAATTTCCACAGAATATCAGAATTTCTTTTATTCTAGGAAATAAATTGAAATTTACCTCTAATGATATCCTTCCGAACCAAGCAAAGAATGTACTATACCTTGTACGAAGTAGACCACTTATATTCCTAAGAATTATATATGAAATTATCTGAAAAATTTTAAAGACAAACAGTTAAATCCTGAAAAATAAGAAAAGTATAATCTCTTAAATGCCAGAAGTGTTTTAATTGGTTTATTTAATCTGTTACCTACACCAAATTTTATAACAAAAGAATGTGCTAGTCATCTGATTCAATCTACAGTATGTTATTTGAACAAAAATAAAAATTATTATTATTATTAGTCCGTAGAAATGTTTCTAAACAATTATATATATAAAAGAAACAGTAAATAAAATTACCAGAAATTCATATTTGTATTTCAGTATGATGAATGTACTTTAGAGTTCCCCACAAGTTTGTTATACTATCCCCATACTTTAACTTTATATAAAATAAATTGTTATAATATAGCACAGATAATTATAAAAATATCTACAGTATTCAACATCACAAACCAAATTTTAAAATAAATTTATTGTATGTAAACAGCTAAACAGTGCACCATAAAGAGAGTAAGCATATATAATATATCAAAATGCAATTTTTACCATAAATATACATCCAGCAATGATGTGAAACAACCTTTATAATGGTAGTGTAATGTAAAATTTTCCAGAAATTTTTAAGGAAACAAATATTAGTATTTAAATTAGGAGATATTCAAATTGGCATAAACAAAGAAGCTACTGTATTTATTAAAATACTTTGGTTACTTAATAGAATTTTTAAAACAAATTATTTGAAATAAGAATTATTACATAATAAAACATTGTTTTCAAGAACTTTTATATTAAACTAATTAAATTATTTTTTCTTTATTTTTAAATAAATAAGAATACTTACAGGAACAAATGAAATATAAGGATGAACTTCATTACATTCTGGTTTATTACGACAAAGAAAGGCAAACGTTGCATATATCTATAAATTTTAGAGTTTTATTTTTAATATTACAACACATTTTAATTTCCTTAATTTATAATACTTACACCTATTCCTACAAAAGATGCCAAAGTAGCAGTAAGCGTTATTCCTCTAGAAAACAGATTTCCATGATTATGATCATCAAGGAATCTATATTGTTTTAAAAGATGATAGGCAAAGCCAAACAGCATACCAAAAGCCACACCCTATAAAAAATAATAATGTGACATAAAAAAGAAACCTTATAACTCTCATTACTGAAGATATCTTAATATTACCATATACATATCTATATTTAAATCTTAACTTGTTGTCCTACACTGTTCTACAAAATGTGTGTCAACTTTTTTTTATAGAATACTAGATTCTGATAAGAATAAGATATTTTATAACAGCTACCAAAAGTGATATTTAAGAGAATATTGGAAACAAATGAATCGAGAAAACAGGTTTTCCATATTAATGCTGGAAAATGTATTTGTGGTGTTTTTAATGGCTGTATTTTAAGATCTTTCCAATGTTACCCATTAGACACTGTGGTTTTAGAAGACAGAACCATAGTATTGCACTGAAGAGGGATTTAACATTTATATAAGTCCGAAATGCATATATGGAAACAATAAAAAAAGTGTTTAACCTGAAAGCTATAATGATAGTCTACCGAATTTAATGTCGGATTAAAGAGACATATATACATAAAACATAATAACAGCTACCAAAAGTGATATTTAAGAGAATATTCTATGAAATTCAATTGTAGTTTCTGCAATATATGAGTATCTAAACTGCTACATATGCAATTCTATCTTTACATGAAATTTTTTATACAATTTCAAATTTAACATGGCCTGAAAAAAGTTTAATTCTCTTTTTACCCAATTTGTTTTAATCTAACATATTTCAATAAAGTTGCCATTTTAGAAATCTTTAATTTTAATTCTAAGAAAAAAATATTCATACTTTGTTTTCTAGAAAATTGCTCTTTTTAAAAAAATTCTTAGAATTTTTCTTAAATTTCATTTAAGGCTGCTGTAAATGTTCAACTAAATTTTGATTCTAGAAATCTTTAATTTTAATTCTAAGAAAAGAATATTTATACTTGCTTTTCTAGAAAATTGCTCTTTTTAAAAAATTTTTTAGAATTTGCATTTAAGGCTGCTACACATGCTCAAGTAAATTTTAAGATATGGCTGTTTTTTATGACTTATTTGAACATGTATAGCAACCATTATTCTTTCATTATGACTTTATCTAGTGATTAAAGTAGTCAGAAAAACATTTAATTTGAAATTTGACAGTTTGTTTGTATGATTTATGTTGATTTCTTTCAATACAGAATAGTTTTTGTGTGTTAAAAATGAGAGGTGTTTTGGTATTTAATTGAAAAAGTCAAATAACAAATAAAATACAAATAAATATTATGAATAATATATAAATTTATTAAATTTACTGATAAGTTATAGTTGTCTCTTTTCTAATTTATTAATTAAAATTGAAATATTTTGTTTAAACACATCCTATTATATTAGTTGGTTTATCATATTATTTTTTACTACTTTTTAAGATCTGGAACCAATCTTTCATTTTTCCATATGGATAGCATTCTTTTTTTATGCAAGAACATACATACTGTGTAAAAACAGAATTGGATGTATGTATTACAAGTTTTTTAGAATATGATTACATTTTTGAAAAAAAATGTGTATGACTCACATATTAAACATTAGTAATATAAGATAAATTTAGAACAATTAAAATAATTTACAAATTTTAAGTTATTTTAGTTCAAACAAAAATATAAATTTACAAACATTGATTTAACAAATTTCTGAAACATTTTTCAATTATATGCTAGAAAAACCACCTGAAATATTTATTATTAATTAAAATATATAAGCTGAATACATTAAAAATGATTTAATCATTATGATGTAGCTCTAATGATTTGCTAAATATATATTTATCATATCTCCAAGCTAAAATGCTTACATATCTTAAATTTGTGTTAACTTCAGAATAAAATAAAGCCTAAAAAACATTAAAACTGTAAGAAAACAGAAAAATAAATCTATACATATGATGAATGCAAAATATTTATTATGATTTAACTATTTTTTATATGTCCCCAAGTATATGAAAAATAAGTTTATTTTTATTTTTAAAAATAGTTTTAAAAGAAACATTCAACTCATCCTTTAATTATACAGTAGAACCTCGAAAACTCGGCTCTCGATAACCCGGCACTCCGGATAACTCGGGCACATCCTGGCAGAGCAAAAAAATCCTTAGTTAATTAATTTTCATTATAGACAGCTTTATAAAAGTATAAAAGCTCTCATAAAGTATTTTTCTGAGGTCTGTCTTATCAGGTAAATTACTGTACACAGTGTATTCGTTAATTTTCATTTTCATGTAGTAAAGGCTCTATGCCTTCATAAAGGACGTACTTTTCCTTTGTTTAAGGGTATTTGGGCAGTTTATTCTC